CCGGCCCTACTGTTGCCTGTGCCACGCTCTGTGTCGGCACTTTTGCTACTGCCGGCTCTACTGCCGGAGTTCCTGTTAGGTCCTGCGATGCTGATATTTCTTTCTAGCAGCCGCACCGCATCGCTCCCACTAGTGCCGCATCTGACGGCTTCCAAGCTGGCACCCGTGGGCCTTGCTCCAGAAGGGATGCTATTGCTGCTACCCCAACGCCCTAGGCCGATGCGTGTAGCATCAGGGAAACTTAGTCCACCGCTGCTACCCGTCTCCCCCCACACTGCACTTGGCCCGTCCCCAAGGTCACCGCTGCCACTGGTGACAGGTGAGACAACCACTTCGACACGAGAAATCCCGGATGTAGAAGAGGTGCTTTTGTGTGTCAATTCGAGGCCAAGGGAAGGGCGTTGGAGCCGTGGTTGCAGACCGAGAAAGCGACCAATTTCTTCCTCTTTTCGAACTTCAACGTCAGAATCAGAGTCATCATCGTCGGTAATGGCGAATGCTCTATCGCTCCATGCACCGGATGAAGTAGTTGGGGAACGAGCCCTATTTCTGATCGAAGCAATTTCTCGTTCTACATCTAGGTACGTATCATTCTCCAAGCTTTGGTCCTGGAATTCTGGTACGGGAGTCTGCTGGCCATCGCCAACATCGCCAACATCTCCAGGAGCTTCTTCTTCTGGTGTGGCGGCACGGTCTTCTTTGCCTACAATTTCATCTGCAGTACGAGCACTCCATGACTCTCCGAAGTGAGTTTCGACGACGTGGCGGACGACTGGCCAACCATAGGCATTGGCGAACATACGGCGGACAATCATGTTGTTATGTGCGTCTGGCTCTAGACTAACTAAAACTTTCCTCCATGCCATATCTGCGTGGTAAGCTCGTGCGATCTTTTCCTCGACTTTCATAATGTTGTCCTTATCAATGGTAGGAGAGGGGGGTGGAGGGCAATCGCTAGAGGAGTAAACACGGTCATGAAAAATTGTTCGAGGGCGAGATGAAGGGTCAATGAGAAATTCCACAGATGGGAGAGGAGGATTGAGCACATGGTTTGCAGCTTCGAGTAAGGTAGTCCGTGGAGGTGTATTAGGGACCGAGTCCAGATCTGGTGGTTGCGGAAAACTGGGAGTAGTCTTGAGCTTATTTCTCTTTTTAGAAGATGAGGAAGAGGAGTCATCGTCATGGGGATTTGTTTGTGAACGGCGGTAAATTTTGGACGATTTAGAGTCAGAGCCCTTACTTTTACTCGAGGCACTGGGACGGAACAATGTCATGAGAGTAGTAAGAGCATTTGGAGCGCTAGAGCCTTTGGCGGAGGAGGGAGGTTCCATTGAAGAAGACTCCGATGCAGCCTTAGATTCCCGTGTTGTGGGCTCGCTAGTCAGAGGCGCCTCTGTGATGGGATTGTCATCATCATCATCATCATCACTCGTGGGAATGAGGGGGCTTTTCCCTCCTTGTTCTTTCCCCACCTTGCCTTTATCTCGAAATGCCGGAGAGACAGGGCTGGTGGTTGTACTATCGGTCCTACTTTTCGTAAGGGTTGGGGAGTATACACTTCCACGCGGACTAGTGCTCCCACCATTTATAAGTTGGCCCCAACCCCAACCAACAAGACTTTGAACAGCATTATTCTCTCTTCGTGCTTTCTCAACTTTTCCAAGACCTTTCCAGTCTAGGAACAACAAACAACTTGTTCGTAACGGGACGATTCCATCATTGACAACATTTGCGTAGACCGTTCTATTGCGGAACTTCTTCAACACTTCATGTGCTGGCCCAGTTGGTAAAATCCTCAACAAGGGCTTGCTTGTATCTGTCGGGCGTGCCGCTACCGCCGGTTTTGCCGTGAAGGCTGAGAACGCACTCGGCGCGCGCCAGGTCAATCCTAAGTCTTGCCCTGTACGGCCGACAAGACCAAAATCAAGTGCAAACTTGACATACATCGGATTTTCGTTACTAAGACCTAGAAACGGAGTCGCTAAAGCGACAAAAGAGATGGGCGTTATATCCGTAAAGAAGTTGGGAGAGTGTGCATGAATATATGCAATAGCATAAGTTTGCACCAGACCACCGAGGGAGTGTCCAATAAAAGAGATGGATGTAATTTTGTATGGTGGCACATCATCATCGCTGTCATGGTCAACCAAAGAAGCAAGCTGAGCGAATGGTGTCAAATGTGGATGATGGTGTGTAGGTCGTTTACTCAGCTTGTTAGGGCCAGAAGGAGGCGGAGGGGAGGTGCTGGGGTGTACAAGGTGAAGGACATAGCGGGCAAGACGACGGCCGAGATATTTTATCCCTCGTTCAGTGCGGCAGACATTATCATGAAATCCCCGGACAATCACTTGCTCCCGATCCTCTTCCTCCTCCTCTTCTTCAGCTTCGCTATCGGTTAGTATCTTACCACTTTCCTCGCGTTCCCTCCGCCGCCTTTCCCGCCAAGCAATGTCGCCTTTTCGTGCTTCCTCGTCAATTGCCTCCTTCATGAATAACATGTCTGCACCAGTGTTACTGTGGAGGCCGTGCGTGAGGATGACAAGATGCACCTTCTTTGTCTTTCTTTTCTTCTTTCTTCGCCGCCTTTCTTTGGCTTCATCTTGATCTTCTGGATCTAGGTATTCACCATTTTGCATACGCCAATCTTCTTCCCGGTGCCAACTTGGGAAAGGCGGGGTGTTCCACAAATCGTGTGTATCCTGAGTTTTGACCTTCAAAGCTCGACTGTAAATATCGCCGTTAGACCGGTCACTATCTATTGAGCCTGCAGTTGGTGGTCGTGGTCCCGGAAGAGTGTTATAGTTTAAACTCTTCTCATCTCGACCTAATATAACCTCAAATCCAACCTGTGCGGTGGCAGAAAAAATAGTCTGACTGATAACCTCCACAATCCACGTTACGCTCTTACGTTGTAGTTTTGTGTCTACAGTGGTGAGTGTAGATTGTTGGCCGCCTTTTTCAAATGCTCCACGTGTATGTGTGGAGGTATCGGGCATCGTCTCGCCTTCCCGGCGAACAATATTGAGTGCATCTTCGATGAGATCTGAGGGGATTGGGAGCGTTGCATAAAATGAGGAGCCGGCCTTAAGCTGTGGCTCAAATCTAAGGATTTCGGACGAGGATTAGTGTTTGCCTCAACCCATAAAACATGGGCCGCACACCGAAAGGAAAAGGAACAAAACTTGACACTCACACAGGAATATCTCCTTCATCAACCAACACCGGACCTCGGTCATCCTCTTGAGCTAACTCCTCCTTTCGACCTTCGGTGCCTGGGGTGGTCGAACTCCATGGCTCAAACTCCTGACGCCGAACCGAAACGTAGAGAGTATACGGACCGTGTAAGTACGCGGCACGTAGGGGTAGCGACGCGGTATTCTTTATCCGGAGATGCAGCGCAGAGGGCAGAGGCAGAACACGGTCAACAGATGGTGTATAGGTAATTGTATATCGGTGGATTTCGCCAATTTTACTGACACCGGTAGTGTGCAAGAGCAGCATGGCTGCAGTGCTGCTGGTGGGATTATCCGAGGTAGGGGGTATAGAGTTATTCCATGCAGCCGAACTGAGGAGACAGGGGCCAAGCGACTATTGTTTTCGGGAGCAAGGCAGGTTGATATTGATGCCGAGAGGGTTTATAGTGGGCGTATGGGTTGTATGATAGGTGAACAGATTGAATGGGATGAAAGGGAGGCTTGGTGTTGAGAAAAAGGTACTTAACACGGTCACACACACGTTTATCTCAGCCTCACAAATGTTGATATGGTCCTTTCCGGGTCACTGGCGAACCTGGTTCAATGGTAAATGCGCACCTACTGGCCAATCAAAATCAGAGAACCCGCACTGGCCCATTTGGAAGTCACAAAGAGACTTAGTTTTTCCCCCACTATTATAGAAAAAACTAAGTACACATATGAACCAATAGAATCATGACTTCTAGGAAATCGAATAGACACAAAACATGAAAATATGAAGAAAGACGGAAATGTGCATGATCTTGCTCATTTGGCCATTCGCCATTGATCCAGAAAATACTATACTTAGCAGACAGAATGATTACATGATAAATTTGAGGAAGATGTGTACATGTAGTTGACCTGCATGAGACAGACAGCTCTTTTGAGTGCTCAAGTGGGGGGCATCCGGGAATGTGATATTGTGTGTCAGAATCATGCCATCAGATTAGACAACAGTTATCAATCAAATCTGGACAGGGTTCATGCAGGCACATGAGCAATATACATGTATCTATCTCCGCTTGACTATATTTGATGCGCGCTTCAGAGATCAGGATATACGTACCTTCATTGCTTCAAGGAAGACATTTCAGGAAGTAGATACAGCAAGTACATGTAGTACGTATACCTACAGGAGATTTATGTACTTACGAACATAAGTGAGAGAGGGAGGGAGAGTGGAGGTGGACAGCAGGAATCAATACCCGACCAATGCAATCTGATAAGGCACTGATCCGCAGCTCACATATTTTGCTTGTTCACATGTGGTTAGTGCAGAGTAACCACTCCACGTCCCATGAGACACGATGATGATAGTGGTTACGCATGAACCTAGTCCATCCAGGTTCCAGCCATTCACCCCTTCATCCACCCCTCTTCACACCCCCTCCATCAACTACATGTATCTGCAGTGGGTGAGTGTCAAGAGATCACAATCTTGCCCCATCCCGATCTCGGCATCGTGTCGTGCCTGGATAGTAGATACAAACATGTACCGCTGCAGTAAACCTCCTCGAGATTCCTCGGACTAGTGTTGGCAGCAAAAGTCAAAAGGACCTATTGCAAGTGCCGAGTGTCACCTACTTCCCTTCTCTACTTTTCTTCCCCTCCCCCCCACCCCTCCCCAAATTCCCGATTGAAAGGTCTCACCAAACACCTTGCGTAAATATTACAATTTTGGTAGGACCAACGAAAGAATTTTGTTCCCCACCTTTACAGGTCACTCTTGTTCTACACCCCCATCAGTCCCACTAAGGTAGCTGCATGTCTTCACAACCTCAGAGTCGGCGTGCGTCGCTTTCGGGGGTTACTGAGGATGTTGAACTCCAATCCTTATCCCGAACTAGTTCCTTCCCGCTTCAACCGCTACGCCAGAAAACACCTCAAGCCGGATCTGCAGTGAATGCCCCCCCTGTCCCTGCCTTTCCGGTCACCACTTTTGGTCCCCCCACAAATAAGGGTCCTCGTACCCATTCCAATACATCATCCGCCCCATCTCCACTGCAGCCTGAGTCGTCCTCCAAATCTGAAGCATTGCACACTCCACTTATAGATGGCTCTGAGTCTGCCCACCCTTCATCCATTCTACATCCTACGCCGCCGCCGTCCTCGTCTCTAAACATCTCGACCCTCTTAAATACCTTAATGAAGTCGGCGCAGTTCCCTCTATTGCGCTCATCTCCGGCAGCTGGCACTGGGAGCTATGGAGCTTTGCCTATTACTGGTGGCGGCGAGAGTAGCTATGCTGGAAGTTCACTTTCGACTTCAACGGCCTCGGGGGAGCACGATGGAAAGGATAGCGACCAAGAAAACGAAAACGAGGCACACGGACTATTGGAGGAGCCTACAATAAAGAGACGAGGTAAAAGAAAGGCAAACACAACTTCTGCGAGTGTTGTTACAGGGTTCCATGGTGTTGATGGAGCAGAAGAAGGCGCCACTGTTGAGAGCGACGGAGAGGATGAAGAGGACGAAAACGATCCTATAGATAACTCCCCGTAAGTTTGCGCGCGTTTATCTTATACCTTACTTGCTAGATGCACCGCGGGTGAGTGCTGATGCATCACAGGTACCCTGAAGTCCGCGCTTCAGTACCAGCCACTGACGACCTGTCACTCTCCATTAATACGCCACGCATGTGGACTCTCTCGATCTTGTTTTCACTTGTTGGCTCGTCTACAAACTTGTTTTTCTCGCTGCGATATCCGTCGATCTCAATTACACCTGTTATTGCGCTTCTTCTTGCGCATCCATTGGGAAAGTTATGGGACCAACTATTTCCGGAGCCTGACGCTTCCGCCTGGGATGGGGAGAAAGGAAAGTTGGGCAAATTAAGATTATGGCTAGGGCAAGGACGATGGAACCGGAAAGAGCATTGCTGCGTATACATATCTAGCAATGTCTCGTTCGGGTTCGCATTTGCTACAGATGTGAGTCGTCTAAAGATTTTGTGACCGAGACAGCTGGGTTGACTCTCTGCAGGTCATAGTCGAGCAGACAAAATTCTACAAGCAGGACCTTGGGATTTGGTACCAGATTCTACTTACTCTATCGACTCAGATCCTCGGATATACCTTTGCAGGGCTCACGCGACAGTGGCTGGTCTACCCCGGTGGGATGATCTGGCCGGGAACACTCATGTCCACTGCAATGTTCACAACACTACACGGCGAAGAAAATAAGCCTGCAAATGGGTGGAAAATCTCTCGGTGGAAGTTTTTTGTCAGCCTCCTGTGTTATCTGATCATCTGATTCTAGATGATCGACAACTAACCTATTATTGCAGATTGTGGTGTTTATTGGCGCATTCATCTGGTACTTTATACCGGGGCTCTTGATGCCAGCACTTAGTTATTTCAATGTGGTCACCTGGTTCGCACCGAAGAGTGTGGTTGTTGCTAACCTGGTACCATTTTCTCCTTGATCACTTGAACGATGGACACTGATTTAGTAAAAATCAGTTTGGGGTGTCAACGGGCCTGGGGATGTTCCCCTTGACCTTTGATTGGGCACAAATTTCGTACATTGGATCACCCTTGATGACGCCCTTTTGGGCTGCTGCCAATGTCATCGCTGGTCTGATCATCGTCATATGGATTATTGCTCCAGTATTATGTTTGTAACCAACGATTGAAGTCGTTATCTTTGCTGACCGATTACAGATTACTCGAACGTTTTATATTCAGGCTTCATGCCGATTCTTTCCAGTGTAGTCTTCGACAACACTGGTAACGCTTATGATGTGACCAAGGTTTTAACAGCAGACTACAAGTTCGACGAAGCGGCTTACAAAGAATACAGTCGTTTGTTTATGCCCATCACGTGACTACCCCGCCGACTGTTTCAAAATAGATAAGGTTATCAGATTATCTGACACTCTTGATGATAGATATGTATTGTCTTACGGCCTTCAGTTCGCGGCATTGACTGCACTAGTTACACATACCTTCTTTTGGCACGGGAAAGATATCTGGAGACAATGGGGACGTGCAAGACGCGAGTATAATGCAACAAGGAATGCATCATCTCCATCGAATACTTCAGGGGTCTACGTGCCTATACCAGAGCCCAGGAGTCATGCTAGTAGAAGAACGAGACGGAGGAGAAGCAGCTTGAGCGAGCAGGAGTGGGATGAGGTCATGGACCGTGAAGATGTGCACATGCGTCTCATGCGGCGATATGAGGAAGCCCCTACCAGCTGGTATTTGGTCACTTTCGTTACCATGACGGCAGTCGGAATGTTCGTCGTTGAGTACTACCCCATATACTTGCCTTGGTACGGGCTGTTACTGGCGTTAGGTGTATGCACGGTGTTTTTTATTCCGATTGGAATTGTTATGGCGATTACGAATCAGCAGAGCAGCTTGTTTTTGGTCTGTCAGTTGATTTGCGGTATGCTATTTCCAGGTTTACCGGTTGCGAATATGGTCTTCGTTACATACGGCTATGTAAGTGCATCTTCCACTTCATCAAACGAGCAATAACTTACAGGTAGTAGATAACCTCTACTCAAGGTTTAAAGTTCGCCTCTGACCTAAAACTCGGGCACTACATGAAAATCCCACCCCGCCTCCTGTTCAGCGTGCAGATGGTCGCAACTCTAGTCTCTTCACTAACCCAGATTGGTGTTTTGAACTGGATGTTCCGCAATATCTCCGGAATCTGCACCCCAGAGGCCATGCACGGTTTCACATGCCCTATTGCCCGTGTTCACTTTAATGGTAGTATTCTCTGGGGTGTCATAGGGCCACAGAGGTTCTTTGGCGCCAAGGAACTTTATAGACCACTTGTGTGGGCTTTCGCTATTGGGGCTGTAGCACCCCCAATGTTGTGGGCAGTTTGGAAATGGACCGGAGGCAGGAAAGGAAATTGGGCTTGGCTGCGAAAAGTTAGTTTACCGGTAGCATTTGGAAGTCTAAGTTGGATTCCACCAGCCGTATGTCACCACAACCCCCCCCCCCCCCCAAAAAAAAAAATAAAAAAAAAATAAAAAAAAAAAGAAAAAAGGAAAAAGAAAACAGTCTATAATTAATTACATACGAAACCTTCTCTGACATAAAACAGACCGGTCTTAACTTTTCTGCCTGGGCAATCGTTTGCTTCATATTTAACCATTACCTCCGTCGCCGCGCTAATGCCTGGTGGGGTAAATATACTATGACATTATCCGCTGCTCTTGATGCCAGTCTTGCTTTTGGACTCGTGGTCATATTCTTTGGCTTCGTTTATCCAGGCTGGATGGACGGTTTCAAGTGGTGGGGTACGGAAATCTACAAAGGTGGATGTGATTGGCAGGCGTGTTCATTGTTGGATCCAAAGAGCGAGAATGGAGGAAGGTTTGGGCCAAAGGCCTGGTAGTAATATCTCGTGGACTGGAGTGGCCCTTTGGTTTTTTTTTATTAGCGTTATCGTCGTTCATTAACATTTGGGACTCGTTGGACCTTTGGGATTGGAGTATTAGAAGTTATGGCAGAACCGGAGTTTAAGTCTAACAAATATATAGTTTTCTTTGTCAGTTTGGTCGGTGGGTGATTTCGGTATTTCTTTTTTTTTTATAGTTATGTTCCGAGTATTATGTCTCTTTTATTTTACATCTCTTCACGATTCCTTTTTCCAATAGATCGGGCAAGGATAACGCTTCTCGAGAGCTTTAGACGAAATGATAAATTCGCTCATCTCACGAACATCAGAAATCTCTCCCGTCTGGTAATCGGTCTCTTGAATCGATTTGTGCGAGTGATGATTCGTGACTTTGACCCCTCCGTGTTTGGCTGACGCCTCGCTATAGTGCTACTAGTGGACATCTCTGATCCCAACCCGTAGGCGCCTTCCATCTCCTACCTGTCAGTGTTCGACACATGCTATGTCAACTTCTCATATTCTCATAGGAAGGGACTTACCTACATGTACATACCCATGGCCATGCTCTTTACCCCTTCACTGGAGGATCTAGATCCATCTATGTACGTACATGCCGGCGCCTGCCTATCCTTCAAATTTCAATGTTATGCCGAACCGCACTGCCCTAAGAATAATGGTTATTTATAGATTTCTCTATGGTGTGCACATAATAGGAATGAGCCGATGTCGCGATACACTCAACGAAGAAGCTTGCATATCCTGCGGCGCAAGATTTACTCTAGATGATTCGGTGAGTGGACTCCAGATACCACGGGTGATGTGCGTCGAAAGGGGAAAGGGAAGGAATACTAATCTAGCCCGAAATCGAAAATTCCCTTTGTCAGTTTCGCCGATACAAACAATATTCCCGGGAAGCCTGCCATGCCACCGCATGTCGTGCGTGTTGTTGCGATATCAAGGAATTTAGTTAGACCCTGCATGACGCTGGCCCCACGCGTCTCGGCAGTGTTTGTGTGGGGTAATGATTATGATGAATGTTGGGTTGCTTGGTACCGGGTAATGATGTCATGCACAGTTTTTCGCGAAGCAAACAAACAAAACCCACAAACAAAACCACGCATAGCATTTTTTTTCCATGATAGATGCAACTTTCCCGTCGATCACGTGCTCCATTCTTCCTTTGATTTGAAGATCTCGACGAATGATGATTATGCATGCATATATGCATAGAAAGACCTCTTACAATCCTCACCGTGCACCGACCGCCTACCGCGCCTAACATGGATACCGGATTTTCACCAGGGCAAGAGGTTAAAGCGATCGTCCCCAGAGTAAGAAGAGGTTATGCATAAACTGACGGCCCATCAGCACTGCAGTCCCCTGCCAAGGGTGCTGATCGTCGTTTCACCGATTCTCACTCGCGATTCCACGTGATGCGTGACATCATCATGACCGCCAGGCGCCGGCATGCCGATCAGAACTTGGAAATCCCGAAACCTGACTTTTCGACGTCGGAGGGTTCTTGGTTCTGGGATGGGGGAAGCGAATAAAAGGGTCCTGGCCTCCCCCTGCGGTGTGTGATATTCATAACCATATCTTGCTAAACACACCAAAAAAGATTACTCTACATACGATTCCCACTTTACAAATTAACAATCCACTACTCTATACAACCTCTAAAGAAACAAACATGTCGGGCTACAACAACCAGAACAGCAACATGGTGCCCGGGAACGCGGGCTACACAAACACCGCTGCCCCCGGGTCAACAACCACTGCTACCACTTCCTCTACCACCATGCCTACCACCATGCACGGTGCTGGCGGCGGCACCAACGCCGGAGCCACAACTGGCCGCAAGTTGGAAGGAGTCATGAGCGGACTTCACGGGGCTGGAGGTAATCCAATCCTTCTCAAGATTTCTCGGTCCGATTCATACTTACTGATTCTTATTTGTAGAGCAAATTCGCGGCCAGTTTAACATGGCTGTTGACACTGCCATGCGGGACCATGAGGGCCAGGCCCGAAACCAAGGCATCATCAACCGGGGCCGCGAAGAGATGGCCACCGGCCGTGTCATCGAGAACCCCGAGAAGCACAGATACCCCCACGGCACCTACCCCTCCGGAAACGCCGGCGCTGGTGCCGGTGTGAACTCTGGAAACACCATGGCTGGTACTGGTACCGGAACGATGAACTCGGCGCCAGGCTACAGAAGAGGCAGCTTGACTGAGGACTCATACGGTGCGCCGGGACCGACCAATGCCCACAAGCACCCTGGGCCAGGAAACACTGGTGGCGGACCGGCCATCGGCGGCGGACATTATGTCGCTGATGAGACTAGGAGAGGGTCTGCGGGATATTAGAGTGGCTTAGAGGGGGAGCTGTAAGATAAACTGGGGCTGGGCCTTCTGGCGTTTTTCTTGTGATATCTCTTTTTCTCTTTTTCCTTTTCTATTTAAATTTGGGGATGAGTGTACTATGAATGGAATTTTTCATCTTATAAACTGGGTTGCAATTGTGATTCTTTGAGAATTTGAATGAAAACCGTTTAAAAATTTGAAGTTATGATAAAGTCCTTGGTGAGAGAAAATAATACGAATCGTGATGCTATGTTTTTGATCGATCGTGAACATCTAAACAACATTCGTGATGTCTATGGCCGAGAAGAGGGTATTGCGCGGAGCCATACGATCTGTGACCTGTAACATCAAGGTTAGGTTTTCTTCAATGTCCGTGTAAGGACACAAAGGATAGCAGGATCGAAAGACAGACATCGCAAGCAGAACAAGCATTATAAGGACACTGATAGAGATTTTACTAGATAACTATTGATATTATTGAACTAAAAACCCTGGTTGGCCATGTAAAAATTTGGACCGGCAGGTGCATTTATCAATACAAGTTGAATCCCAGTATGACCATAAACCGAACCACCGAATCCACACCTCAAACACCCCACTTATACCAACTCCTTCTCGCCCTCCACCACAAGCCCCGGGCCCCTCCTCTCCTCCCGCTCCCGCTTCCAAGTCCGTGAAATCTACTCTCCTCCGCCCCCCACCTATCCGCTGACCCAGCCGCCGCATTCCTCATCTCTATCCACTCCTCGACCGCCGTAATGCCAGCAGTCAGCTCAGCCCTTTTCCGGCCCTTGATGGTGTTTGCTTGAATGCGCCAGGCGAAGTAGGCACCGAGGCCGACGCAGAGAACGAACTCGAAGAGGAGGATGCATTTTAAGGCGATACAGGACTTTGTCTGGATGAAGTCGATGGCGGCGATTGGGCCCTGGGGACACATGTATTTCATCGTGACGTTCGGTGAGCTTCGTGATTTATGTCTGCTTGTTTGGATTTTGGAACCTGGTGATAAATAATGGTGGTAATCAGGCCGAAGGCTCGGTGGGGAAAGGTGCTAAAGATATATGCATTCATCTATGCATAGAATTGGCCATATTGCAGTCCGAGCTTTACTATGGCTGTTCCTGAGGCTACGTTTTGAATCGTTGTCAGATGAGAGGATCATTGAATCTCAGGATATAGCCCGATATAGCCCACTTATGACGCTAGTTGTCATGATAAATCTTTGATACCCCACCACCGATCCAACTTAATGCAATCCACCTCCTATCGAGAACAAAACATTGGACTTGCTTATGTTCTTATTGAAGTCCTTTCAACTAGGGACGTAGATAAGTAACATAAGATTCTAACTGAGCCCGACTCCCAGACCTATAGCGACCTTCCTGCCCAGATCATTCCTTAAACCATAATCTACGCTGCAACCTTCAGGTGTTCCTGCAGGTAGTTTACAACCTGTTTATATCTAACCCACCACCGCAACATTAGCACCCATACCATACCAACCCTCTAAAGAAAAGCAGGAACAAACTTACCCCCTCTCATACTCCTTCGCATTTTCCTCATCACTCAAGTTAGCCCTGGCCGCCATCCACCCATGCGGCATAGTCGGATACGTCTCAACGACAGCTGCGTTCCTCACGGCCTCGATCTTAGAGCTCTTAAGGGCCTCTGCACTCGCAGCGATCGCATCCACAGGCTCATCCTTCGATGCAAGTATCATATGCGGGATTGTCACACCCTTTGCATTCTCCGCATCAACCTGACCTGGGTGAACCTGGATTGTCACTTTGAAAGGTGTGTCTTCACCAGACATGAGTACTGCGACCTGCAAGTTGTCAGTTCCATGCATAGTTTACTAACTATGTAATGAAGGGTACGTATACGCACCTTCCCACCCCAACAGAAGCCGACGGCTGCGATGCTTTCAATAGACTTATATTGCTCTTTGAGCGCAGGAAGAAACACCTTGGTGTTTTCTATACCCTTCTGAAAGTCGGCCCAATTTTCAATAAAGGCTTTGACGATTGCCCACTTCTCGGGGGTATCTGGGGGGTAGAGGGTGTGGTCGAGGACGTTGCCCATGAAGTAGTCGGGCATCACAACCTGTCACAATGTTAATTCAGCTCGATGAACAACGGCGTATAAAGAAGAATGCGTACAAGGTAATCTCCAGAGGCAGCGATGATATCGGCGCCTTGCTGGATCTGGCTGCAGTAGCTGAAGATGTCAAATAACGCCAGGACGGCAGTTTTGGCATTTGCATTGCCGGTAACATCTGGATTTTATTAAAAATTGATCGTCAAGTGATATTGGGAATGACGGACAGGTTCTAAGGCCGCCAATTTCGGCGAAGGTTCCTTTGGTAGTGTAGTCTGAGGTGACAATTGGAGGAACGGTGCAGCATGCTTTGGAGTGCGTCGACATTGTTTTAATGACCTGGATGGTGGCGGGGGTGAAATATAAACTTTGTGATGAGGTGAAGATGAAGATGAAGATGAAGATGGAGGTGGATAGAGAAGTAGGAAAGGGAATTCTCGAGTTCTGGATTGGTTCCTGTCGAGATATGGAAGTAAGTGGGCTTCACTTTATACTCGGGGAGGGTCCCCCCAGCCATCCATCTTATCAGGTAACTAGCTAGCAAGTTCAAGCTTGAGGCGCGTGAAGACAGGTAGGGATCCCTTATCTCCGCATCCTTTACACAAACTCCATAACATCCTAAACCCCGTACTCTGCATAAACCCCATGCAGCTGGATTTTCTTTTTTCCCTACATGTGTGCAGAGAATTGTAGAAAAACCGGGTCGAACGGCAACTAGATCATTCAGAGAGTCGTTCAATTGAAGAAAGGATAGCAGGGGGGTTAAGTGGTTTCTCTTTAAGCCGTAGAGGAGTAAAAGTATTGTACGAGATAACCCCCATACTTTCCCGTGGAAATAATTAAGTGGCACTGCGGCGGTGCAATGAGCCGCCGGTGAAAACAAGACCCATATGTGAACCCGCTCTATCCGGGAGCGAAGTTGGTCTTACATTATGGCGTCACGATCGTATTAATTTCCTACCGTTACCAGTACGATAGTCTTATCGTTAGAAGGGAATGTGGTAGTCTCTGTAATCATGTTAGACCGAATGATCTCTCGTTTATTGACAACCATTCGCCAGCATTGAATCGTGAAGATTGTTTTTCGATGTGCCAAGACTTTGTACCAGCTAAATAGTAGTCACGCATGTTATTGAACAGACAATTTGGCTCTTAAGATCTTGCCAACGTCCGTAACTCAGAAGCTCATACACGATGCTATTTCTCCCCGTTGTATCTAATATATAGAATATAAAATATATTTCCAAATGGAGGAGGTGACGTTGACCTCAAGGCTTTTTATATGGGCTAGGGTTTCTTTTCGGGTAACACACCATGCAGGTACCAGGGGGTACAGCCACTTCGATGTCTCAGCCAACTTCAATACCAGCTACTTGGTTAAGGAACATTGATTGATATTTCTGCGTAGGCATTTTACTACGCCGAAACCATCTTACCAAGCTAACACCAAAGCGGAAAGAATAGTTGTATTAACACCCGATAATCGTACGATAGAAACGGAAAGCTTCAAAGAAGAGCAAGGAAAACCGACCTAGCTTGGGCCTTTGAGATAAAGATTTCGAATGAGTACATTTTTAAGCCCCGAAAGACGTTAGACATGCTCCGCTTCTACTACATATATCTACTACCACAAATCACGAACCGTGCCTCATATGTCCTACATAGCTAGAAAAAGTGACATGAATCTCTCCTATGGACAAAAGAAATAAACTAAATACATTTCCAAAGAACCCTACGAAGTGGCTTTCGGCTTATGGACTTGCATGATCCTCTGCTTCGCCTCCTCATCCCCCTTAGATGCTTCCCACATATCAACCAATCTCGTATTTCGTGCCATTTGTACCACTACAAACCATTTAATATCAGCCCATTGATGTTTTGTAGATTCTTTCAACTCCGTCATTGACATTTGCTTCTCTATCTCACGGCCCTTTTCCACAGAATTTATGAAATTTGTCGTTTGTTCTTTATGCGACGTTGCGAGCTTGGCCGCTATCTGTTCCTGGGTTTGATAAAAGGCATTTAGCTGCTCCGCCTGAGTCTCGTTGAACTTTTCTATCAACGACTTCTGTCTTGCTTCCTTATTCGGCCTTCCCTTCAAAAATGTCTGGAGTTCAAACCAATATTCGTCTTCTTCTGTAGCTTGCTTAGTAGTGAGTGCTTCCCGTTCTTGTGCAAAGCAAGCGTTCAGTTCTTCCTCCTCCCTCTTTTGACTTTTCCCCAGTGTTTCCATATCTTCAAAGAACCTTTTCTCACTCTCACTCTCACGATTGCTAAACTCAATCTCTTGCTCTTCCTTCTCTTTCTGATGTCTGTCCCGCATGATTCCCCATTGCTTCTGATGCAGCACCAACAACGCCTTCTCCGCGCTTTCAAACTCAGCAGAGACCCTCTCCAGCCACCTCTCCTGTAATTCTCTTCTTTTTTTGGCCTCTGTGCGAGCAGCTTGCGCAGCGGCGATTCTATCAGCTTCTGCACGTCGTTCCTGTATCTCTTGCTCCCGCTGCTCCATTCTCGCAATTGCCTCTATTGACCTTTGATGTTCTGCCTCCTCGCGCGCTCGTGCGGCGCGGTTGAGAGCAACCTGTTCTATACGGGCTACGCGGCGGCGGGCTGCTTCTTCACCAGTACAAGCACATGTTTTCCAAACCGAGCCACAGATATAACAAAAATGTGCACCGCATTTACTGCCCCCCGATCTGTCAGTAGGTCTACTCATCTCTCTATTCAATTCATGCAATCCTTACCAGGTAATATGATTACATCCCTGCGTCCTCTCAACCATTGTTCTACACTGGTAACACCTTATCCAACCTTGCCTTTCTCCCTCCTCTAGCGTCAACTGGAGATCGAAGTCTTCGGGACAATCTGCTTGGGCGGGATGGGCTATTCCTCTACATGTACCACATACACTATTATTGCACGTGCCGCATATGATTCGACCGGTACCGCTCGGTGGGATCCATGCTGAACATGTAGGATGTGGGCAATAGACTCGATCTGCAGCTGGGATAGCGTATTCTTTCGCCTTTCCCTTGTAGGTCTGGCGGTCTTGCTTATTGAGGGCCTTTTCGATGGTTTTTTGTGGTATGTCTTGAATACAGCAGCGCGGAGGCCAGAGGGACTCGTCCTGCATTGAAGTTCTGGGGAGATAAGTATATGTGCGCAGAGAGGTAAAGAGTAGTAATACCTGATGAGGGTCTCGAGGCAGACAAAACAGTATCTGTGTTGGCATGCTAACTTCACTAGCTTCTTATTCTTATGATCGTCGAGGCAGGATGAACATTCACTAATATCGCGTCATTATCTCTTCGATAAAATAAAAACAAAAGAGCTTACCTTTCCCCAGTGCCTAGGCTCTTCTTCCAAAATCTTTTAACCTGCTCCACCCTTGGCGAAACTGGCATCGAAACAACAGTAGAATCGTTTGCCGGCAATGGTGAAAAATATGGTGAATAAATAAGTGAAGCACTCCCGGAGATGTTGTATTTTGGCAATTCTCTTCTGCTTTTTGACTTCTTTGAGCCAGTAGAGGACATCGAATCTGCTATAGAGCGTAAATCCGTTATAGAGCGTGGACTTACGGGACTTTCAAGCTCTGATACAGTCCCATGAACAGAGCCTACAGATACCCTCAATGAGTTTCTCTGTGGCAACGGGGCTTCGTTGACTGGTGTGATGGTATCTGAGACGAGTTCGGGGGCATCTGCTGGGTTACTTCTTGAACTTTCTCCCGCTTCTATCGTTACGGGAGTTTCTTCTTTCTGATCCTGCTCATTTTTTATAGTTTCGAGTACACTTTCAAGAGCTTCAGCCCACTCTTTGAATATCATATCCTTGAGATGAGAGCTATCATCAACAGACCAGATGAGCTCGGGTGGTGGAGGATATTGTTTCCACCATTTTTCGGAACTGAGATCTTCGGTTGATAGAAGCGTCAGATCAAGGCCAGGGATATTTTCGAGGTCGAGGTAGGTGTCGCTGTACGTGATTGACGTAGCGTGATTTTCTTGGTCTGGTTGGTGGGTTATTGTTGTGATGTCGATTACTTCGATACATTTACCTTTATCAACAGGCACCGGGGCACTCTGTCCGACCAAAGTCGTAGTTGTAGCCATCTCGAACTGTGTATTCTTTCGGTAATAAGAATAGAGAAGGAGAAAGAAAGATACTGTGCAAGTTAGAGTTACAAAAATGATAACGGACATCATGGAATTCGGACGGTAGCTGTGAGGTATATGAACCAGCTTGAAGATGACGAGTGTAATACCAGCTCATAGCCGTGCATAGCCATTATCGATTTTTGTTTCCTTGTGGCTGTCAGTAGCTAGGTAGGGCATGCCCTGGAATGGAACAAACGATTGGCTATTTTTTCCATTCAATGAGCAATGCACGGTTTCTGCCTTGGCTGCCAGGAATGGGGGATAACTTGATATAGTTACACATGCCCGTTATGGTTGCTGTTTTGTACAACATCTCCGAGGCTCCTGATGACTAAAGTCCGTGACGGACCCAAGCTGTTTACCGTAAAAGGTAGCGAGATTTAGCCAATTCCACCAGACTAGACTTTTATGTCAAGGTATAAATAGAAGCTACAGCAACAACAGGTCTGTGGATAACTCTTGCCTATCGACATGATCCCCAATCCAGTCAAAAGCAGAGGCGAAGTCCTGGCTTGATCAGTAGATGCAATCCACGTGGGTTGGGGTGAAGGGCTGGATGGTAAGTAAGGCAGAGATTGGTGTGAAAGCTGCAGTGACGGTGACCCGAGTTTGTGTTACCACCCGGACTTGGCTGCACCATGAGGGTTACACAGATTACACAAGAAACGTTGTGAGGCTCATCTCTTTGGAAGGCCTCGGTGTCGGTGAGGCTCTGTATAATCATATTGTAGACCGTAAACCGTTGAAATTACCGAGAATAATGTTTACTTTGCCTCCAGAAGTCCTACAGATCACTCACTCAAGCATGAATACTAGCGCGGGAGTGTGAAGTCACGCACGAATACCATTTACATTTTTAAGTGTCTCTTGGCACGGTGTGACAATATATGTACAAGCTAACCCTTTACGTCGTAAGTCCCCAACCCTGAATCCCACCTGCCTGTCGATCATTTACACTGCCTTGCCTTAGTTACCCCACATCACGACTCTACTCTACATAGCCACAAAACCCCCTCTCAAGTGCATCTCAAGCTCAGAATTAACAAAACAAACAAGATAATGTCCTTCCTCAATAACCTAATTTCGGACCTCCGCGAAGCCAAAGCTGCAGCACAATCCCATAACATGGCATCCTACGAGCCACCTTCCACCAGTGGCATGGGTGCAGCTGCTGAGGGCCCTGTGGAGGATTCGCATACACAGACGAGTGGTAAGCCGGCCTCGGAGGGTTATATCCCTCCTCCACCACCTCCCAAGAATCTGCCACACGGATGGACGGCAAGATATGATGAAAAGGAGGGTGGGTTTTTGTATTCTAAAGGGGTGGATACTAGCTCCGAGCAACGGGACTTTCGTAAGTACATATATGGGACTTATTCGGTGACCTGATAAAGTGACTGATCCGTCCTCATACTAGCTACTGAGAAGAACACTGAGGGATCTACGGTTATAGTTACTGGGGAGACTACGGAGCAGGTTACAGCGAAGCCCGTGTGATTCGATCTCTCATGCTTTTTTCCATTTTGGAGCAGGCGAAGATCAAGGCTGGACCTACATAGTTAGTTCGTTATGCTTGTCGAATATATCCTAATCTCTTCTCGTCGATAGTGACCTAAGGCACCAAGGGTTATCTATGCGCCCCAAGGATCATGACTCGCCCGTTGAAACTGATATTTGGCGAAGCTTGTACAAGGTCCCACAAGTTCTGCGAGGATACACAATCGTTCCACCTATATGCTGTAGGTAGCACTCGAATCGCCTCTAAAACCCCTCGAGGCTTTCAAGAACAAAAAAGGAAGCTTAGGGAAGAACACGTACTTCGCTAGAGCACCCTAGACATAGTGCGCCAAAATCGGCGCCTTGTCTGCCTACCTTACCATACAGCCCACACTAGTTCTACCTAGTGGAGATAATAAGACACCAAAGGTAGAGCCCGATGTAAGGATGCTCGATCGACAAACGATTTACTCCGAACCCTATAAGTTAATTCATACAAGTTTTGGCTGCATGTTAATGGCACAATTCACAGTTAATCATTCGGCCCTTCACTACACACATATTTAATAACTTCCAATATCTAGAACTCACAATTCACCTTCCCACGGGCGACTATTAAGCCCGAATCCCAACCCACCAATACAATACATTCTCACAGTGCATAACTACGTGTTCACTGTTATCCGCAAATACAGCCCTACAATCTATCTTTTTGGCTGATTTTCGACCAATTATGAATCGGACTCCACCAGTTCTGTCCCTACCTACGCATACTCTGTACGCTGTTTCATTTTAAGTCTTCTGATTTGTGCCTATAATTATCAAGAATAATAAAATATCCCGCGGTCACACTCACAGGAAACTCGATTCCGTAATTCCACAAAACAAGGCTACCATACAATGAAATCATTGAGCATATACCGTGAGCTGTACCTCCAAATTATGCATATAAACAGAAATCGAGGAATTCTGAGACTGGGTAATCCAGGCCTGGAGAACTGAAATAGTCGATGACGTAGCAATCCAATGTCATATTTCTTTGGCTATCGGCTCAGTTTTATTTGACTTAGCCAGTTTAATTACAGTGGAAATCAATTCCGCCTAGCTAGACATTGGGAACAGAACCCCCACCCCGAAGTAAATTTAATTCAGTCAATTTTCTCCACACCTGGCCCCACCAGGTGTGATATCAATTACTCCATCTAACTTAGGGTGCCGACTTAGCTCCAGGTTCAGGTCCCCAAAAACGCAATTCCATAGCATTCGAAATGAGTTGCTAAATCTAATTACCAAATATCTCGGAGGGTTTGTCGGAGAAAATTCTTCTCGACCAACTTGAGACAGCCTTATTTGTATTCTGGCCATCAACCCTGCAATTCTTGGTTCAGACAATATACTAATTATTCTTCGGTACATAGGTAGTTGGTCAAATAATTTCCTGAGCCTACAAGTATTCTGGTTCTGGATCCGCCCAAATTTCATCGAAGCTGAAGGCTAAGAAAAGCATCAAGAACGATAAGAATGTACGTATGGTTAGAATTATATATCTAATAACATAAGTATAAACCATATTCACTGCGCGCTTTTATGATTTGATTGGTTGACTCTCAGGTTCCTTTTCCACTCCAAGAGGGTGTAATGTTTCACTGGAAGTTCATATAAACGAAATATGAATAGACCGACTAGCTTGGTGTTTTTCTATAGGAAGCTGATAGTGGTTTGGGTACAAAATAGCTGGGTGAGAGAAGAAATGGGAACGAATTGGGAAACTTGACGTTTCTGAACGAAATACTGATGAGAATGCGTACATGTAGAATTTCCGACATTCCTGGCCACGGACAGCGAATATGTGAGAGTGGTATTTGCGCACGCGGAAGGATCAGATTGATTGGAATGACAGTATGCCTCATATCAAGATAAGTTTAAACACTCCTTCCCGCTATATATTAGAAAATTAAAATTTATTTTTAGGCAAAGCTTCATAGAACCGGGCACGACTGTTTCCGCTTATATAAATACATGTCCACACACACATAGTACAGGCACACGTGCACACAAAAAGATTTTACCTCTCGAATATTGATACAAGCTTAAACCTCCATCCGTAGGTAGATCTTATACTATAGCGAGTAATAGAGATATCCATGGCCATTGCAAGGCAGAATTTAGAGCCCCCAGAGATTTAATCTTGCATCTCCTGATGTCCTTATTGTTCTCCAATTGCAAGGATCTTGTATAATCAAGTGAGGCAGTGCGATACCACTAACTAGACTGAGATAAAGGCACCTACATGTAGTCATAGTAATGACAGTCTATGGAAGAGCCATACAAGGACACTCGCGCACATCAGCAGTTTACCGCCAAACCAATTTGGGTGAAATTAGTAGAACTGCCCAAACAGTACTAGCTCCACTCAGGTTCACCGTTAACCAGCGTACGGTTCTAGCGCTGGCCCGCTATTCGTGTGCTGTGCCTCTGCAGTACGTCACTAGGCACCATTGACCTTATCAATATGAACACCCTGCCCAAAATATACTTATAGTACATGTATGTAGTCTTGGAGGAGGAAAACCGGTCCGAGTGATCATTTGTGATTACTTCCCCAGCTCTAGCCAGCAACTAAGAAATTTATTTTATCATCTTGGATTTGTTTAAACAGGAGGGCAAGCGATACTCCATTGATGAATGGCTATATACAGTTCAGTTGAGATTGCGCTGCAATGAACCAAAACCACAAGATAAGAGAAATCCCATTAATCCCCCTCTGCTACACCAACCAGAAAGTTTGCTAACATTAAGATTAAAAAAGAAGACAGAAAAAAGAATCTCTCAACCTGTGCGAGATTTTCTGCCATGGGTATATGTTTCGCTAATTAGACACCTTACAATCCTCCTCAGTTTTGGGTACCATACTCCAGACAATTGAACCCAATAAAGAAAAACTGAGAACTACTGATCATTATAGACTTAGGAAGATTAATTCTTCTCGGGCTCTCCACTAGTAGTAATAACAGTCGGGACAACTGCATCGGAAGTGGAGGCAGGGACACTGGGGGCGGCGGCAACGGCAGAGGTGGCTTCAGCTCCGACCACAAGCTCAGAGACTGGAGTCACGGCAGGGGCTGTAGAGGGGTCAGTCGTAGCCTCCGTAGCTGGAGCTGATGTAGGACTGGTGGCGCTAGCCAAACTAGGCTCCTCAACGGCCTTGGTAGCAGTGGCAATCTCCGGGGCTGCAGTAACTGCAGCAGAAGCAGTAGTTGGCTCCTCGGGAGCGGCGGCAAGGTTTGGCACGACCTCAGTGACATTTTCCTTATCGGTGTTGCCCTTATCGGTGTTTACTTTATCTGCGTCGGTGTTTACTTTATCTGCGTTGTCTTTATCGGTGTTGTTTTTATCGGTATTGTCTTTGGCGGTGTCATCTTTAACGACATCACCTTTTGCGGCGTCATCGTTGGCAGCGTCACCTCCAGTAAGGTTCTCTTTGGATGCATCTTCATCCTTTTTCAAAGGTTCGCCAGTCCCGCCGTAGGCCGCAGGGATAGTGGTAGATCCCATGCTCTTGGACAGCTCTGCACCATAAGAAAGCATGATGAGCTTCTTGAAGGTTTCCTTTGCAACAAGGGCTCTCATAGTGGTGTACATCCAGCTCATAAGGAGCGGAACGTTGACAAAGAACTTCTTATCAAGAAGCTCCGGGTAGAATTTCTGAAAGATTTCGATGGTTTTCTTCGAAGCGGTTTTGACTTCGGCAGGGCTACGGAAGAAAGAAACACGGAGATAATCGTGGACCTGAATTGTCTTGTACGGGTCGATGGTTGCCTTTACGGGGTCGTAGTCAGGAATAGGCTCTTTAGCAGAGGCGAGGTCGAGGAGTTCGATAGAACGCTCCATGAGGTCAACCCTCCAACGGAGGAACCTTAGAAAGGAGACGTTAGAAGGTGATCTTGCAGCAGTTAAAAATGGAACCGAGGGACTTACTCCTGGACATCACCGAATGTTTTCGCAAAGTCTTTGACATTTCCATAGATGTTCCAGGTGACAACGACCTTCTTCTCATCTTCTCCATCCTTGACTTTTTCTGTAGTGATATACCCCAAATCCTGATACTTAGCCTCATCCCAGGTACCGATGACTTTACCATCCCCATCAAAGAACTGCCTGCGCCACTCCAGGGTTTCCTTAAGCTGCTTAAGAGCCAATTCCTTGTCACCCTTGTTTGCCCTCAAGAACTTCTGCAAGATGATCTTGGTAAGGAAGTCGTCCTTATTAGGCGAGAGAGTGATTCCCCAGATCTTGTGGGGGGGCTGTTCTGAGAGGATCGAGGCAAGCTCGGTATGAAGCACACTAAGCGGGTGATCTTCAGAAAGAGCAGGCCAGGTTGGAGTTGCAGTAGTCATTTTTGCCTGCACACGCTTCTGTGGTTAGCTGGCACAGCAAATCAGGCAAAAGGTAAATAATACAATAGAGAGTGACTTACGGAGGACTAATGTGATCAATTGATAAATTCGCGAGGAGTTGAAGATGGAGATGATTACTCCAATGTTTGTAGAGATGGCGTTGTTTTTTCTTCTTTTTTTTCTTGCGTGTGTTCCGTATTTGTGAAGCAGACGATGATAGGAGGCAGAGTTTTGTAGAAGGAAGGGGGAAGGAAGCAAGGGACGGCATATAAAATTAAGCGAAGAGGCGTAAAGCTCAGGCCATTTCACGTCACGCCACATAATTTCCCCTAACCCTGTAGGTCGCTGCAAATGCGAATACATGTAGGTACTGAGGACCTGTTCAACAAATTACTGTCAAATAAAGTGACAAACACGATATCATTGCAAGGGACATTATAAGGGACCTGAAACCGCGAGTTTTTATAAAGAGGGTTGACCCCAGATGCCACTGACTTACTTTTATTTTGATTCAGGTACCGATCTCATTAACGTGTATGCATGTACATTTTCAGGAACCGATTTCTTACTCATCTTTCTAGCGAGAGTATCGTTATCGATAACAGTTATTTGAGCCTCCTTCAATTCTCTTATGCAACCTACATGTACATGTATGCACTTGGAACCACGCCAAATCTTGTCCACTGCCCCTGATCATGAGGAAAGTGTACCTACGACCATACTGATAAACTACTAAATCAACTCCGTTGGGGATATACTCTAGATTGAAAGTTTATAAACTCTATCCGATCAAGTTCTATACTTAATCTGCATTGATTTATTATGTACGGTATACACCCACATACCGGTACCACCCATTAGGACCCTTCCCGCCCAACCCCAACCCCCACAAACTCACACTCAACCCATTTAACAGCTACTCTCCGCAACAGTAACATTCACTGCGACACAACCCTCTGCCTCCAAAGTTTTCGCACCATCCCAGTACAATTGCCAAGTTCCCTGGACCTTGCTCTCATCGACCTTGCAGGCCTTCCAGCTTCCACTGATTCCATTCACCGCCAAAAAACCGCCTTCCTTACTGATTCCGGTGGTAACAGCACCGGTGGGAACGGCCGCAGAATGTGGGACTGTAAACCCAATGGGCTTCGACTCGGTGGGATAGACATAAAGACGCTGGCTACCAGTGGGGGAGCTGTGGAAGGACTGGAAGGATGCACCGTCGCCGCCGGAGGTCACTATGAGGTGTTAGTTTGTTTATGGGCTGGGAGAAAACGAATAAGGAAGCTTACAGTCAAGAGACTCCGAATAAGTAGAGTACTTAATATTTCCGATATATGCGGAGCCTTTTACTGGTCGTTAGCTGGTTATTCTGGCAACTAGATTGGCCATGAGGTTACTTACTGTTGGCGTACATGAACTCGGGGTAAATGAGCCCGTCCAATCCCGTAGTGGTGGAAGTAAGGGTAAACTTGGTTGGGAGGGCGTCGCGCTTCTCGATGGCAGCGCCAGAGGCCATACTGGCAAGGGCTGCGGCAAGAACGGTGGTCATGGTGAACTTCATCTTGAATGATTGGATTTCTGAAAAGGAAATTAAAGCGAGTGAATTGATTTTGATGTGATGAGAATGAACCGATTGATGGTGGTGAAGTAGGCTTACGATGGGAACTTCGTGGAGGTTATATAGAAATTGGCAAGACTATGGAGAAGTACCGATATAGATATTTGACATCGTCATTATTGAGTTCGTATCTCTGATCCTAGGTTCATTCGTCCGGAAATCCCGGATGACAATGAATAGTAGACACAGCTCCGACATAATCTAGTCTACCTACATTCAGCATGGGACTCGAGGTACTTGATTAATTAACCAAGCTCCCTAACTGCTCTATCAACCAGGATAAAAATAATCCTTTGTTCAAACAACTAACCAGGGTATGCACTCAAATTGGTGCACCATTTATTAATTCTACCATACCCAAACCTCGCAGTTGGGTTGCTGGTGAGCATAATCCATGCTTGGATTAGTTTATTTCGTATCCAATAGAGTAAGGCCTAGGTTGTGGTATCTACCGGCCTTATCCGACGTCAACTCTCAACACCACCTTCCCTCCGCAAATACAAACTTACCATACCCGGGTTCTTCCCAACCTGACGTAGGTGGAGGACAGCCAAAATTCCATGATCCAAACAAAGCAAGGGACCATGCATCCTGCCTACATCCTGCAACCAAGTTTAGAAACGCCACTATGTACCAAGGATGTGGGGACAGCCGGTGCCGACCAACTGGTGGAAAGCCTTCCAGAACCAGCCATTTCTCGGATTTCGGCTCCTTACCGACTCTCCTTTCTACATCTTTAACCTCTCGAGTGGCGGGTTGAGTTCAGCCTGAGTTGAATCAATTTGATGCTTATTCTTACCCTTCGCTCGCTAAATGTTAGAAAGGTTGTTTTACCGACCAGTAGCCAATATCTTACGGTGGGACAGAGGAACAGTAAAAGATAACAACGTCAGGTCGTTTACTGAACACCTGCGGGAAGAGCTTATGATCAATTTTGGGTTGCACAGCGCTGGCAATACTGGAGAAATATCAGACTCAATTGCAATTGATCATGAGCTCTCAGCCCGTATGCTCACTCCGAGAGAGCCGGGTTTAAAATAATTGCCTTGAGTGTGTACTTAGCAATAGCTCCGGAACCTCGCGGGTTTCTTCCCGGCATACATCGGGAACTGTCAAAATTGGATTGACAGGTCAGCTCGCTCACGAGATTTCTGGCCTTGCATACTGCCGCAAAAAAAAAAAAAAACAGCTCATCATCTCATATTCAAGACTATATCTAATTGCTATATTACAGGTTCTGTCGCAATCACTACCAATGGATAGACTTGCATGTTTTGATGGTGAACGAGGGTTCTCCTCCTAACTCTTCGGCTGCTATTGGTACTTGATAGGGAGAGAACTCCGAAAGGAAAGAAAGCCGACGAATTTAAGGGGATTCTGGCTAGTTCGGGGTTTCATTAAGTATACGGGCAGAGGGATGAATATTTGGTTGTTCCAAATATCACCATATAGGAATACTGATTAAAGGATTCATTGATATCTCAACTAGGTCGAATATTAAGGATAGTCCCAAGCTGGTTTGAGGTGTTTATAACGACTCAAAGCCCGTTTAGGAGCCGTCTAAAACGGAGTCCTAGACTCTGGGGACCTGAAATCTATTCTGGCGAAATCTCCGTTCTGAGAAAGTCTTGTGTTTGGCGACCCATTTTGCAGGTCCAGAAAACAACTTCAACTCATGAAAACAGAATTTTTAAATAAGCAACTCGAACCACCACAACCGTGACAATCCCGACTCCTACCCTTGTCATCAACGTCCTAGTCTCGTTGTGCAGGAACACCACTCCCAAACAGTACATTACTTTTAAACTCAGTTTTAAATTTCTCCCTTTTCCCACCCACTAACGGAAGCTAAGCAAAACGGAGTTTTCTACAGTCTCGGCTCCCAAACAGCCTAAGGCAATAGGTAGGTTTCCTGGGAAGTATACTGAACCGGCCATGTCAGCGGTACATACCTCGGTTCAACGCTTGAGCTTCTTGTGAAGAGTTCTTCCGGCATTTACCACGTATAAATGATGTAAGGTAGCTTAATTGGAATACCAAACCGGGGCACAGTGAATCCCGTATTTGACCAGATCAGGATCGCCCAGTCGTATCATTGGATATCACTCGAATTACCTCGTTGTCTTTCTAGTTCCCTTTTTTTTTTTTTTTTTTTTTTTTTTTGTTTAATTCATTAATTGTATTTTCTAGTTCCCTTGATTGATTGATTGATAATTCATTAATTGTTTCTAGTTCCCTTGAGGGAGTGCTACGATGGTTTGCTGTCCTCTGAGGACTGTATTGCAGTTCTTGACTTGCGTTGGCTCAGTTCTGTCTTTATTCCATTGGTGGGGACTTTATATTTCAATCCTGCAATACTACATGTAGTCTGCATCCTAAGGTTGATAAACAGGCAAAGCATCCACGTGATCATGGCAGTGTGGTGGAGAGGTTAACACGTCAGCCTGCTATACAGTTGAGCTGATGCCTTCGGGTTCGCGAGTTCGAATCTCGTCGCTGTCGTCTTTTTTCCTTACTTCTGGAAAGCCCCCTCCATTCCCGTCCCTACATACATGTAACGAACGCAGGTTCAATCCATATACTGCATGTATACAACAAATTCTGATCGTCTTTTATCTACAAATACTTTCGATCACAGGCATTTATTTTCACCACTATCCTAAGGGAGCTGATAGAATCAGAAGTATATAGATGTATATAATTCGAGTGATTATACATGACCTAGGCCACAGAATAATAGAGAACGGCTATGACACAACATATACTAACCAATCCCCCCCTTATAAGCTCAGTATCTCTTGAACGCCTGGCCGCTGATAGACGCATAGTGAGCTACGTATACGCATGACCTTCCAGGAACGTCAGTCTCAATTGTCAGTACCGTGATTCTCGGCCTCGGTTTGTACAATACCTTCTAAGTATTCTTCTCCATACAAAGAACACAACGGACGGAGGATAGTTTCATCAAACAAAACCCCAGGGGATGAATAAGGTTATCTTTCAAGGTACAAAGCGGCAATTCGCCGATTAATGGCTCGTATCTCTTGCTTCCTGCAGAAGCTCAATAGTTTCTTCTACTCAACTTGTTTACGGCTCTTAGACCCACAACATATATATATACATCCTCTTCGTTGGCGAAACCATACCTCTATCCTCACTCAGGGAGTTCGCGCGCGCAAGTGTCCGACATATATGCGACTACGGTCAATAACTTCTGTGTTGCTTGCCATCTGAGATTTACGTAAACACTCTCGGGTTATGCCGGGTTTACGGACAATATTCCTTCTTTGTGAAGTAGAAGCCGTGCGATATCGATACGAAAGAAAGTTATGGTATCCTAGACCCTGGGCGCGGACCGCAAGTGATGGAGGCACGCGACCTTCCGCAAATGATGCGCCTCCGAGATCTTGTCGGCTGTCAAACCGTTGGGGCGTTGGTGGTTTCGATGCATGGAGTACTGGGAGGCCGGCCTTCTCTAGAACCTCTGCTCCCTAGAGCTATACCAAACTTATCATCGTGAAATTTTCTGTTCTGAGAAATGGGAAGAATTGTACTAATTTATTTGTATCTAGCTTTAGGGGAAACTTTCCTTCATGATGAATTCTCACCACATCGTCAAGTCAGCTTTGCAGGTTTCTGCGATCGACCCCTTAGAATACAACCCCAAATCTCAGCAAAGCTCTTCTCTTTCTATACAACTCCGGATACGAGCCATGGCCACGGGCACTCCAAAGAGTCATTCCAAGCGACGCAAAGTTGTGAAGTCAAAACCAGCTTCAGCAATACGGTACGGTACGATGACCGTGCTGAAAATCCCCTTATTAGCTAGCTAGCTAGTGTCAAGAATAAACAGCCCCCCACGCAACCAACCTACCAAGTCTTCACTGTCAATTTTGGATTGCCTTCTAGCCGTGAGCTGAACCTAGCTTGAGATCCGTTGTTACCAATACATGTATTGCCTCGATCGTCATAATAATTGCACTTGCAATTACCTAAGCTTGCACTTTCAGGTTTCTTAATTCCAAGTCGGGTTGGCTGGCTATTTTTGTCTCACGTATTCGCCCGCTCAGTCGGGAGATCATCTCAGCTCGATCTCGGCTGAATCTGGTTCCGGGTGCAGAGTGGCATGAATTAGACTATTTTCTAGCTGCTTTTAGGAGAGAGGGTAGAGTACAGGCTTTACACATCTTTGGGGACTCTCCAACACGGCTTCATGTGCCATTACCGCGGCACTTTTTTTTTCTAGAACAAGAGAAGCTGTTCAAGCAAGACATGCATGGGGTTCTATTTTGGTCTAATGCCTGCCGTTGTCTTGGCTAACGCAATGTGTACCGGGGGCCGTTATCGACCCTAGTTACTTAGCTCGGCTACCTAAAGAGTACTACATGTAGCTATAGGGATACCTACATTTCTAGCTGTAGGTACGAATTTTGAGCCTCCCAACCACCGGCCTTCCCCGAGCGAATCCTTCGGTATTCCACCCGGCCCCCACATTGAGCTGGAATACTTGTTCTGTTGTATTTTCCGATTGGAGTGGTAGATGGGGAACCTTGGTGGATCGGGTCGTTAGTAGAGTAATATCGCATATCTTGGAGGGTTGGGGGAAGCTTAACACGAGGTCTCAAGCTAGGATGAGAAGCGAGGGGGTTGTGGTATTCTCTATTCAGCTGGTTCTGGCGAGACGTTACGGTAGGTACTCGAGTGAGTGGAGTGGTGCATACAGATTGAGTCTCTTTCTATAGCTACCAGCTGTCATAGCTACATACATTGATACGGATAAACAATGGTTCGATCTATGTTCTATGTATAAGCTACATAATACGCGGGAAAAGTACTCTAGCTCGCCAGATAGATGTTTTGTGGCGATTTTATTATTAGAACATGACACTATAGCTCGAGTATAGTACCAGGCACTCCACTTAAGCTTGTATCGCCAAGGGTAAGAAGAGTCACTCGACCACATCTTAATACGAGCTAGCCAACTAATTTGGAGAGTATGGCCAATTAGTATTCAAGTACCCTCGAGTACTGCCCCCTGGCTCACCAAACGTCACTGCACGGTAAGTAGTGTGCGTTCCATGGTACGAGGGACCGTGCATACGATGCGATATTATTATCATATCCAACACGACTATTGAATTAACTATGAGGAGGACAGGTACCATACAGAAGTCTTTATATACAGCCCTTCCCACCGTCCTTCTTCTCTCCTCACCATCAGCTTCTTCACCTTCGCTCTACATCAATCCTCAACAGCTTCACTCGCTTTACCAACAAACACTTTCGTTCAATCCACGATACCAATAATCAAAATGCAGTACACTCTCCTCAGCACTCTTCTCATCGCCGCTACCGCTGCCGCGCAGACCACCTACCGTGTCGTCGCCGAGCCTAGCACCACCCTCAACACTTACTTCAACCAGATCTCTTGGGTCAACCAGGGAACTAGTTCTCTCTATGCTGGTGACGCAAAGTTCAACCAGGCCGCTGAGCAGTACATCGGTAAGTAATATCTTTAGATACCAATTGGCTCTATAGTACTGTAATATTGACAAGTTTATAGTGAACTTCTCCACGGATGGTTACATGAGCTTCCTCTCATGGCACACGGAGCGTTACCAGACCTTCTATGTCAATGAGCACACCACTGGGCCCGTCAAGGTTGATATGTGGCAGGGGATCCCACAGAATGCAACCCAGAAGGGATTCACCATCGATGATGGCTACCTTGGGTGAGTTTTTTATGCAAACTTTCCGTTTTTGTTCTTTAAACAATGCTAACAGTATAATAGACTTGCGGGTGATGGCAGCAAGTGGTCTTTGTGCCCTACCGAGACTGGTGGAAGGACCTACCAGTTGTGGTATGTCGATGGCGATGCGGCATCAACCGATTGTGTGAGCACCAAGCTTAAGATGCAGGCTTACGGGCTCTGCACCTCAGCTTAAACTTGGACAGCAGTTTCCAATATGAGATGGGAGAGTGACCGGTGGAAGAGGGGTGGTGGGGAGGTATAATATATAAAGGAAGGGGTTGAATGTATAAAAGGCGGTCAAGATTTATTGAGACTAAGTTAATGTCTGACATTATAATTATACTTTTCGATAGCTAGATTAGTTTACAATAGAGAGCATCATCACGCTGCCATATAATTTTTATCCCTTCGTGTGTTTTCAGGACATGTGGCGATCTGTGGCCCACCATACAAATTGTATGAGCTAACTGCAAGATTGATCCACTTGTCACGCAAAATTGCTCTAAAAGATAGTGTAGTATACTGTTTTTCGTTAAATTGCGTCTATCACGGCGCCGTCGTGGGCCTAACATGTTGTGATTACCGGAAACAGACGAAGGGATATTGCTGCAAGGAACGTTGCGAGTGATGGGTGGTGAATGTAGCGCCAAGAAACTCAGATTTGCTTCGGGAAAATTTAAAGGGCAATGACACTCATGCCTCGAGATTAATAGATAATAAGTTCCAGTGAAGATAAGACATGCATCAACTTAGAAGGTCTAACAGCAAGTTTTTGGTGTATTTTCACTTCTACTCCAATAGTAATTGCAGATTAGGGCTTACATTTTCGGGTACTTGTTACCTGTCGTGAGTACTATTCTCTCCTTTAAATTTAGATTTCCAAACTCAGTAGTTTATTGAGAATATTAGTAAGTTATATACATATATTAGATAATACGTTGATTTATCGAATGATTAAGAGTCTCACAGTTGCCAATGTCCTCAGCATGCACACCGTTATCCGTACATATGAGACATGGCGTGTCTAAGACTGTAAAAACGTTGACGGGTGGCTCTCATAGGTATGCAAGATGTCATTCATGATTTTAGAACCGGTCATTGTCTGGCAGGTTTTGGTTGTACAGGGTCTCACATAACACGTTAATGCTCCAAATTTTCGCCGGTCAACCTTTTTTTCCTTTTCTTTTTCTTCTTGATTCTAGAATTCAATCATATTCTTCTTTTTGAGATCCAATGTTCATGCATGCCCACGTGCATGGCGCTGTTTAGATATCTCTTGCCCCTGCATTCTCATTTTTTGAGCACTTGACGTTCCTAACGTAAGATCTATTATATCCTTTCGATAGAGGTTTTAAGCGGAAATGAACGACTTATTTTTTTGATAGATCCGTACCTGTGGTAATATATATAGGGTGGGTATGCGTGATGGCAGTGCAGTCAATCGGGGTCATGTAGAAGCAATCGTCGTCCTCGTGGTGGCTCATGAAACAGATATGCCACCTGAATTAAACATGAGTCTCACAAGTAGTTAGCACTTTCCGTATGCTCCATTTATCTGACAATAGAGATAATAGTTAAACACTGTGGCACCGCGCGTAGAGGAGAAATTGCCGATAGAAAGATCTACAAATTTCGAATTTTCGGACAGTTGCGCGGGCAGTGATCTTTCTGTTTTTTTTTTCTAGATAAAACTTACCGTGTGACCTTCACATGAGAAGATGAATTACAGCTAGGCAGGTACCAAAATGATCTTGACAACTGTATGATTTATCACCCTGAAAAGAAAATCGTCGACATATCTATATAACGAGTGATAGACTGTGAACAACACTTGACGTCGACCCTGCATGCATGATAATCGGCTAACGGCGCCCCAAAACCCACCAAGCTAACCATTTTGCACACACTACACAGGTTAGACACCTTACATAATTATTCACGATGTCCAATTACATGAGAGATGCTCAATTATTTGTTATTGTTAGTCAATCCAATTGCGCAAATCTATACCCCCCACGTAAGACAACGTAGTATGTACCTATAGAGGGATGATATCCATACTCTATTTCCGAACACCCCCGAGTGGTGGCCATTGTGAGGGGTGATTAGAGAATTTCGTTCGGGCAAGCTGGCTGTTGATGTGTTGATTTTAATTTTGAGAGCCATTCGGGTGAGGTGAGAAATGTTCTTTTTGACAACACTTTGCGCGGATAATCGGCTTTGGAAGACCGCGTGTACGTGAGGATAAGCTTTTTTCCCTTGCTTCTTTTTTTTTTCGTTTCAGTCATAAAATCACCTTATCCCCAATACTTGTATGAACCCCCCCACCCGCGGCTGACCAGTTGCATGTCTTGTCCCAAATCCACATCAATCCTATGTTCCGGGTTATTGGTACAGCAGAGGTCCTCTACCAACCTCTGAATCAATGATGGTTACAGACCTCGCCAAAATTAAAACTAACATGCTCAGGAAAGAATTTTCTATATGGGTATCCATTCTACTTCTATAGCTATGTAGTTACCCCCCTTGGGTATGCTTAAAATTTTAGAAACCAAATGACCGACCATTATGCAACGTGAAAGACCGACAAAGTAAAACCCGAATAAGAAGAGAAATTTAGCTTTCAGTTTTTAGGAACAAGGTTACCTACACGGAGTAATCATATCCACCATTGGGAACAATGTTCCAAAATTCTTCAATGATCTCCTTTTGGCCACTTGGAGCACCGCGAACAGCCATGTACCTACGGCCATCGACTGCTGGAGTCCACCCACCAGGGTTCGTGTCAACCACGAGACCGCCGGCTTCGGTGAGAATAAGCCATCCCGCAGCGACATCCCACGCCCAGCATCCACCCTCCTGCTTCATATTAGCTAATGAAAAAAGCAAAAAACGGAGGTGTTCGTCATGGAAGGTTGGAACCAAAAGAAACTTACCCAATACAAGTCGATGTTTCCAGCTGCAACAGCGCAGAAGTTCAAGGCAGCAGATCCCATGCTTCTGAGAGAATGAACCATCTTGCCACCTTCTTCGGGGCCAGCAGCAAGCTTGGCGAAGGTTTCGTACTTGATTCTCCAATTATGACCCTGGCGGTCACTGCCCCATTCAATGGCCACAAGTGCCTTTGAAAGTCCTTCAAGTGGCGAAGGGTAGGTCTTGCGAGGAAGGCGGATCTTGTGGGGGGTCGGGGTGGCGCCATTGGTAGCGCCACTGGCACGAACAGGCATGCTAAGGTAGGAGCCCTGATTCTTGATAGCAGTGTACCTGTGATGCGTCATTAGATAAGGGGCGGAAAAAGTCGGATGAAAGTTTTATTAACTTACATGTGAGTGGTATAGGGGTTGTAAACAACACCGACCACTGGCATTTTGTAGACGCAAAGAGCCAGAGAAATGCACACATTTGGGAATGTGTGAACCTGAAAACGTACACGTAGTTAGTATGAAAGGCACCGAGTTAGAAGGAAATTGGGTAGAGAAAGTACTTACGAAATTGACTGTTCCATCAATGGGGTCACAGATAAAAGTAGGTTTATCTGTGAGCTTCTTTCCAGGAACATAGCTTTCCTCTCCAAGAAAACTAGGTTTTATCAGCTCTCTATCCATTAAACAAACCAGAAAAGTAGGTGCAATCGTGAGGCTTAATGGAAACATACTCGTAACTAGGATATTTCTCCTTGAGCTTTCCGAGGACAAATTTTTCAACGGCTTGATCAGTTTCTGTGACCAAATCGGCAGCTGAAATTATAGTGTAAGAAGCTGTTTATTATCAATTGAGTCAACCGAGATGGAAACTTACAGTTCTTTTTGGTTGAAGTTGTGCTGACCAGCGGATTGGCGTTGGTGATCATATCTCCAGCGAGGTGAGCAACCTCGATGAGAAAGTCGTGAACCTCTTGGTGGTTGATTTCGTCTGCCATTTTGCGAATTTTTCGAGAGCTGGTAGGAATAATCTGAATTAGAAGGTCTGGGGGAAAAGGTAAGCTTTGAAACTTGTGATAGAATTATGGATCGATGATGAGAGAAATCTTCTTTGAAAGGTCGGAGGTATTTGTGGTATATAAATACATCCATAGCTCCTGCCAAGCCTAGGGTGTTCCTTCTTTACCAGGGGTAAAATCAACTTGCACATACCAGGGACACTGCACAAGCGGGGCATTTTTATAAGGCACAGAATGAACAACCAATAAAGAAGGACAGAAGGAGAAAAGAAGCGGGAAGTTGAATGGATTGAGAGCTACAGTAAGTAGAAAAACAGCCAAGGGATATTATGCTTACTTTGTTTTGATTTGTGGCGTTCAATTAAGGTGCGGCTCTGTAGAGGCTCTGCTATGGCGTATTCAGTTTAAAGTTTTGTGTCTGTCGATTGATGGAGCAACGCAGCTAGCTGACCAGTGACCTGTGATTTCTGATTTCTCGAATTTGGCGACTTTTGATAACTAGATCTATAGACTTATAATAAAGATTTTAACAACAATAGCTCCAGGAGGAAGCTTTTGAATTACACCCCCGAGGTGGGGTTTCTCTCATGTTCAGGGGGAGGGGGGGGGGGGTGTGTGGGGGGGCGGGGGGGGGGGAGGGTTCTGTTAGCGGGGTCGTCAGCGGGGTCAGTGGGGCCCACTTGGTAGGTATCTGCAGTATCTTGGTACATGTGTAGTTACAAGTATCGATAGAACCTGGATATTAGTTATTCCGGGATTCGAAACTCCCCTCCCCTTCTAAAGCTGTCCCTGATGACACTCGATGTCCGTCGGTTATCGATTTTACGAGATGCAATCGGAGATTCATCAAGTCACATTCAAAATTTCCAACTACGGCAGTTTCCGAAGAGTTTATCTCACGGGGAAAGTGGAAGGAAGATCTAGACAACTCATGGCGTCTTTGTGCAGTACTGTACGTACGTTTTGTGTCTACATGTAACTCAGGGTTGACTGACGTAACTTTGCTTTAGTCTCGCCCGCAATTGCATGCAGGAGCGAAAATGAGACATGGCCATTCGCAAATCTAACGGCTCCCCTGCTCTATCAAAGATAACACGTGCTTCAAGGCGCTTTCTATCACAACTTTTGCGGTGCTTCTGCTGGCGTCTCGGTGAATCTATCTCCGTGCCTTTCCCCTCCTCCTCCTTTTTTCTCCTCCTTGTCCCATCGATCCCGATAACCTACCTATCTACAGCTTGCGGTAAGATTATTGTAAAGGTATGGGAGTAGTCCTATTGGCTTTCCCAGCCATAGAAACCCTGTTTTTAGACCCCTGTTTCTACAAGAATTCTACCTCTCGCTGTACATACAAAAGTACCAACCTATCACTATACCTACCTACAGTACTCACCGGGAATAGAACAGCATCAGAAGAAAGAGGCGTTCAGATACGCGTATACGAAACATCATGTGCTGTCACACAACCGGGTTCTCTCGGGAAAATTCGTTGCCTACCCGGCATGTTGCATTTTGATTTTACGTCAACATCAGCAAGTGGGAAAGTGAGATTGCGATGTGTGTTGATAAGGGAGATCCGGTAGATGAAGAAACGGATTGGCCCTGGCCCAAACCACGTTGTCGGTGGCTCTCAACCCTAGCCCAGTTGTGCAGCAGGCCAACCAACAGAAACAATTTTTGAGAGGACATGGCCAAAACAATTTGTACAACCGGTGTTGGACCCTCCGATATTACAGTACAATCTCGCTATAAGGATATGGAAATGTGACAATTTTGCATCCAAAAATATCCTTATAGGCGATAAGAAGTGCTCAGCTCACCCACACAATCCCTGTCGGGACCAAAGTTGAATCATACACATATCGTTATAGGCCGAATATCCTTATAGAAAATAGCCTTATAACGAGATTGTACCGGGTGTGCACGTAAAGTACGGAGACACCCCATGTCCATTTTTTTCATTGGTTGATTTTTGTGTCAATGCCATGGGTAGCAACCAAAGCAACCAATGGTGCAGGATGATTTTTACTGAGACTTATATGGGAAAAAAATACCGAGACGTTCTCATATATTTTCACTTAAAAAATCGAATGTAATCGTTAAAAATACAAACAAAAAACCAGTAGTATCTCCCCTGCCTACCGCGTCATCTGCATATCATTTCAGGCTGCCAGGCTCTGTTGAGGGTTGTTATTTGATGAAATTGTGGTTGAACCGGAGTCAAATTGAGGTGATGGAGGTTGCGTTGCAAAAGCTGGCAATGGGCTACCTCAAATACTTGCTTGGCTGCCAAATGTCACTTTAATTCATGATCATATCAGCCCAATCAGAGTTCTTTCCAAACCCTCATTTTTAAAAATTCCCCAAAAGGGGTTCTCAGTACTTACCCTTAACCCCCGGTACTGTATCTGCTGCATGCAAGTGCTGGAGAAGAGAGCGACGGGTATGCACGGAAACCAACGGGTTGGGTTTCTCTAGAATCACGGGTTGCCAAGCATTTTTAGAGATGTCGACAAGGCATGGACGGAGTGGCCGACAGACAGTTCAGTCTTGATCCTGAGGGCTCAAAACAACAAACTCAACACCGTCAACATAGCCAATTTATTCACTACACAGACGAAAATCAATACTACAACTATTTATTCGCGCACAGTTAATCTGTAGGATTTATAATCGAGCAGCGCCGAGGCTTTCCCCGCAACAAGATCCGGCCGTCCTTCCAGATGACGCCATCCATCTACCTCGGTCCGGTGCGACCTTAGGTACTTGAAAGAATCGAGAGAGGAGAGCTGCTAATTCTCGATAGCTTTCAGCCAGCTCTTAGCCAGTCAATTGAACAGACACCCTACCTATTCTAAACGCCTCAAACAATGAAAGTTATCACCATCGAAAAAGTCGAGGGAAAGCCCGGCCAAGTTTACTACCCGTACGTAAACCTCCCCGATTATTTGTCTAAAAAGACAATCTGTCAATCATGCCCCAAGCACTCCCTCTGCTCGTTACCTCTTGATAAAGAGGGTTTTTTTTAAAACCAATACTTACGAACCGATATCCAGGCTCAAACTAATTGACCTCCCTATCTCGACTCCTAAGCCTACGGAAGTCACAGTAAAACTCCTAGCAGCCGCCCTAAACCACCGAGACCACTTCATTCGTCAACATCTCTACCCCGGAATCTCATTCGATTCCATTCCCCTCCTCGCGGACGGCGCCGGGATAGTAACCTCTACTGGCAGCGCCGTACCCACTTCCTGGCTTGGAAAGCGCGTCGTTCTCGCTCCCGGTCGCGGCTGGGACTCTGACCCCGCCGGCCCCGAAAGTGACATCTATGCCATTCTCGGTGGAACCAAACACGCCCCCACCGGTACCCTTCAGGAATACATCAGTGTTCCCGTCTCGGAGGTGGAAGAAGCTCCTCTCCATCTCGATGCCGTCGAGTCGGCCGCACTACCACTCTGTGGGCTAACCGCTTTCCGCGCGGTCTTCACGAAGGGTCAGGTGCAGGCCGGTCAGAATGTACTCATCACAGGTATTGGCGGGGGTGTTGCGTTGATGGCGCTCGCATTCTGCTGTGCGAAGGGCGCAGTGGTGTTTGTGACTAGCGGGTCGGAGGATAAGTTGGACGCCGCGAAGGAGCTCGGGGCGAGTGCGGGAGTGAGTTACAAGAGTACGGCGTGGGAAAAGGATCTCAAGTGCCTTCTGCCGAGGAGTAGGCCGTATTTGGATGTGGTTATTGATGGTGCCGGAGGAGATGTTGCTGGTGAGTTATTCATGCTTTCTTTCCTTTTGGCGGAAAAAGGATTGTGGTGATACATAGGTGTGTGGGGGTGCAACGCGCAGTGCATTTTTAGCTAATCCAGTTTGCGCGGGAGGACAGCACGGACTGTACCGTTGCTCAAACGCGGTGGCAAGATCGTCTCATACGGCATGACACTTGGTCCCCAAACCCCCTTCACGATGTCAGCCGTATTAAAAAATATTGACCTCGTGGGCTCAACCATGGGCTCCCGCAAGGAATTCGGGGACATGGTTGAGTTTGTTCGCGACAAGCAGCTCAGACCCGTCATCTCAAAAGTAGCAGACGGTATTTCAATCGACAGCCTTGAGCCTCTGTTCGAGGATATGAAGGAGGGGAGACAATTTGGAAAGCTCGTTGTCAAGATTGCGCCGGAGGATACGGCAAAGTTGTAACAATTTTCTTTTCTTTTGACTAACTATCTTTGTACGTATGTGCATAACTGCGTTGTTTGCCTATTTTGTTCATATCATTTGTATCTTCACTTTTACCATCACAAGACCCAAGAATTAGCATAACATGACATGGCATGACATAGCCTTCATTTATTATGATACTCGAACACGGTTTTCGATGGTTCGATATTGACAACACTCGCTCGCTCGCTAGTAGGTACGTGGTGCGGATCATACAAATAAGAATAAAGAACAGAAACCAAAAAACCAAAGAAGACACGAAAAGGATGTTTATTCGTCACAGTTCAAAGGCTTTCGTGCAGAGTAGAAGTACCTATCATCTCGTTAGAAAACTTACCAGCATTTATGGTAAGAGAAGCAGGATGAGACTTACTGTCTTCCGTAGGCGTGTATCTTCCTATTCTTTATCTCCTTCATAATCTCCCTCAACAGATCGTTGACATCTTCCACCTCCATTCCAAGCACTCTTGTCAAGTATGCCGTCCCCAACGCCTCAAACCCAGTCTCTGCAGCCAACGTGAAGAATGCGCCAATCTCTTTCAACTTTTGGTCTGCGGGCCATGTTCCTAGTGGCAGCTTCATCATCTTTACTCGGATTTCTTCGAAACCGCACGCCTCAAGTATGGGCGCGATGTGAGATGCGATTCCGAATGGGCGGCCTATGGTACAGGATGCACATTAGTATAAGTGAAAGCAAAAAGCGAGAAAAGTCGAGAACATACCGGACTTGTCGGCAGCCTTATTGACGAGATCATAGTACTTGTACATGCTGAGGTCCTTGTGAAAAGTGCCGTCGTCGCTGTAGAGGTGGAAGTCATACTCTGTAATGTCGACCCAACCACCTGGTTTGGTAGTTCTGTATGCCTCCTTCAAGAGGAAGTTCCAATCCTTGATAGCACCATTGAGGTTCCGTATATGGACCAGGTCGAAGTGGTTTTTGGGCCATGTCCACTCTTGTTCGGCGTCGTCAATTTGAAACTCGACGTTTGGTGGGACCCTTGAAAGAATGAGTTAGCTAATTGCGTCTACCTGACAGAGTTATATTCAAAGATGTCAGTCGTACCAGTTGGGTTGAATAGGACTAAGATCTGTCCCGATGACCTTCGCAGAAGGATACTTCTCGCCAGCATCAATCGCCCAAATACCAGTGCCAGTACCGATATCCAATATCATTTGTGGGTCTTTGGGGATAGGAGCGGTTAGTAGGTTCCCACCCAACATCAAAAGATTTATATGGTGGACAATATCAAGACGGTCTTGTTCAGTCTGCAAACCAGTATGTTAGTAACCAAACGATATAAAAATATGTGGGCCTTAGGCAAGGGCAGCCCGTACCTCATCGTTGGGGGCCAAGTATTTTCTGCATTTTGAGTTCTGTGTTAGCTCTTTTTATTTTCTATTTTTATAACACGTTGGACAAATAAAATCCGATGTGTTGGTCTCCGGGTTTATCGCACAGAGCCCAACGCAGTCCTTTGGTAATGGGTTATTTTCCGGCCCAGAAAACCACCCCAAACACCATATTTTTGCTCCCAAAAAGGGAAAAGAAAAACTCACCCATCCTTGTAGGCGTGATACCTCCGACCATTTTCAAAACGATACCTGTCAAAAAAAAAAAAAACGGCTGTCAGATCATTTTTGTCTTCTTCTCCACAAAAAGGGGCCCAAGAAGAGGCGCAAGAGCAGCTTACTCATAAATTGAAGATGCAAGCGACTCGGTAGAAATTTCACTATAATTTTTTTCCGTATTTAGTTGGTGTCATATGTTTAGTAAATAATAGTAGCTACTCACGATTCAGCTACCGAATCGAGTGCCGAGTCGTTGGCCTAAAACATGCGGGTTAGTATTGGTATGAGATAATAACTCCCATAATGTTACTTACAGTCTCATCGACAGAGATATGGCCATCACTAGCACTGTCTGACATTTTTTTTTTTTTTCTTTTTGGCGAATTAAGAGATTTCGGAGGTTTGCAGATGATCGTGATAGGTAAACTGAGATATATACCTTTGCGCCTAGGGTGGTGGTGAGTTGGTTGGTTGGTTTGTCGGCTGGTGTGGGTTTTATTAGAGGACAATTCAGGAGAGGTGCGATAGAGCTTTATATCCTCTAGGCAGGCTGGCAACTGTTAACAGTGGGTCATTAATTTACTACCACCCATCACTCAACGCTTACCCCGCGCCTATGCACTCAGGGTAGGCGAATATAGGAGGGATCGAACCTATTAAGAGCAAAGCAAGTGGGGGTTAGATTGGCGCGCCACGTGAGCAGCTGGATTCAAAAGCTTCTGCTTAAACGCCAGGAGCAGAGATATTATTTACCAGAATCCCCTTCTCTCGTTCGCGGCCGGGAGTGTGTGCGAGGGAATGGAAAAATACGCTGCACCCTCGGAGCGTGTAGGTACATGTACCGCGGTAGGTATATGCATGGTTATCGTAGTACTACAGGGTACGTAGAGTAAGTAGCCATATATTATATAAGTATACGGGTGTATATGTAAATTCTTTGTTGTCCAGCCAGGTTCTTTGACTTACAGTTGCAACTCGATATGCCGGATTGCCAAGATTCTAAGGATTTCGTACGGGATAGCAAAAATCCGGGATAGCAAATTGATTTTGCAGTAGGAAAAATAATATTCTCAGAGGATCTCGTACGGGACAGCAAGGGATCCGGTGTATTGAGTTCCGGCATATCGAGTTGCGACTGTAAATGCGTGTGGGGTCTGGATCGGAACTTTGCGTTTTTGTGTGGACTTGCTTGTGTGGACTTGCTAGGTATATCCCCACCGTATAAATCCTCCACCTGGGGTTTCTGGGGGCGTTCGGCGATACATAAATAAATACATACCCCCAGTACTTGTACGGTCCAGGGTGCCCAGAACTGATCATGAGCCAACAAGTGAACTTCATAAAACCTTACATATAACACCAAACCCTTCAACATTTGGCCAACACGGGTCCGGCTTCGCTAGTGCTCTCTGTTCTAACCACCAAGCATTAAAAATCCTTTGTGCAAAAAAGGATGGCTTATATATCATGCGAGTCTCATAGACACACTGTTCCGGGATTCTCTAAAACTAGTCAGTTGTTGAACGCCCTAGGGCAGCGCAAACAACCTAGTTGCCCAGTCCACCAACTGTTTGATATGTATTCGGTCCGACGATAGCTCGCATAGAAGGCACAGGGAACTTCCCAGCAGACCAGCTAAGCGATGGAGAACCAAAATCGTGGCAAATAACAATCCAGCACAAGGGCGAGTTCGATTGATTTTCCCGAGCTCCCTCGGACGACACATCACATTATTCGCCCTGGCCGGTGATACTCGAGAACCTATTCCGTCACCATCTCTCTGGGCTTGGGGTAACGTATATGTACTCATCACCCTCTACCACGAAATAACTGCGATCTCAAGATGGTATATTTTCCTTGCTAACTCAGGCTCGGCTGGAAAATCCTCACTCGTTATATCTTCCTTGATCCAGAGCAGCAGCTGAACGCCATCGCTCTAGAGTGCGTACATGCCTAGATGCACAATTTGGAATCTGCCGATGCAATTTTTCTCGGACAGCTGAGCTTCCGTCCTTTGGATAACACAGTAGTAGAGCACTCTACCTAGAACAGGTTGCAAATGGGCAGCAAGTACTTTACTCCAAGTTGCTGCATACAGTACTGTAACTAACTTCCGGTTGAAAACTCCGATAGGGCACAAGTTTGAGTGACGGGTGTGAAGTGGCCGATTAACTTGCATCCATCTCTACATCTGACCCTTTTCTTCGGAAGAGGATTGGGAGTGTAAAAATCGGGTTTCAACCTCAAACCCCGGGTAAATTAATGCACTGATTGGTTCGTTGCATATTCCATCGCTTTCACACTCGATATCGGTTTGAGTTTGCCGGTACCGGTAACAGGCTGACCGCCCTTTTTTTCTTACCCAGGTAGAGTATATACTGCGGCGCCAAATCCCGTGCCGTCTGCGTGCAGTCGCTAGAGTATGTTGTACCGTTCGTATCGCGTACATCCTTGCTTCCATAAGATACGGTACTGTATGGGAATGACGGTACATACTAGGTCAAAGAGAGTTTCGCTTTCAATTGGTCGGTAATCCTCTCCCGAAGAATCGGCTGATGGTACTGTTTTGTCCGCCGAGATATTACCTGGGATTGAAAAAACAAATCATGACACTGGCTGGTTATGTACGTTGTTCGAACTTTTAGGTAGAGAAGGGTTCACTTCCCGAGCGGACCGAGAGACAGCACAACCGCAACAAGCGAGCCTTGGAGTGGATTTGGCCTTTCCCCGCCTGCTCGCGGTTTTGCGCCACATGATACGGCGCTGTCCCCCATTTCCTTGAAGACTGGGACGGGTCATGCCAATATATATCCTGGTAGGGGCCATTCTGTGTAACCATGACTTCCATCGGTATCAGGACAGATCTCACTACCTATGTGGGTCCCCCGATAAACTAAACAGTAGTGTGTATTTAAAGATTTAAAGGTGAGTACATACAGTAGCTATACCTATGATAGACGAGAATTTGACTTGGTTCCCAAAACACTAAGTCACGCTATCTAATCCGATAAACGGGTATATAAAGGTATTAGGATTCATCCGAGGCTGCTATATTATAGCTCTATATACTGATATACTGGCCTTTCAGTATTTCTACGATATCCTCTAAGGTATTCTTCCGCATGTCTTCGTATATGTATGCACATACTCTACATACATGTACATAGTACTTATCTCCTATACAGCCCTTTGGACTAAACATAGGAGTCTCTCACACTCCCTCTCCATAGTGCACCATAGGGAAACACCATACCGGATCAATTATTCAAACAGCTCCAACTATTCATCAAACGATCGTTCCTATCAAGATCCTGTTTTGATATCACATCCGCAAACCTTTTGTTGGTGACCGTTGGTCGATACAACCCTGATCCAACAGGGTTAGGGTTTCCGCATCAATTTCGCAGCATTTTAGGCGTGAACTGGTGATTAATTTTCGTGAAGGGGATATTCGCTATAGGTGATAGACGTAATATATCGAGACACGATTAACATACTGGCACTGAGTTATTATACATTACCAATTATAAAAGACTATCTAAGCTACAAGTAGATGCCTTGCTGCGAAGGTCAATATTCAATTCTTATAGGCTAACTAGAGATGAGTCATGGCGAATTATTTTGTCGATGAGGGGCATCCGCATACATATCGTGAAGATTCTGCCGTAAGACCTTCATGGGAGGGGTTGACAATGCATACGATAGAAAGACCTACTGATGTCACTCATATTGTGCACTCTTCCGTAGTCTGTGGATCAGAAATATTTGAGTGAGGCCAAAAGCATAGTGAATATAAATATAAGTGTGCATATACTATTTGCTTAGTAGATACATGTATATATTCCCATCCTCTTTGCATAGGATTGCCTACGAGTAGTGTGAAGATATATCTATATACAAGTGTTAGCTTGCTTCTTGTGATCTACATTTCTCGGCAGATTACTAACACATAGTGATATGTGATGTTTGGTGGTTCCTGTAGTATATAAAATCGCTCAATATAGCGAGTTTTCGTTATATTACGAGCATAAAGGACTCAACGAAAATGATCCATAAAAGTTGAACCCGCGGGGGCCGAATTTGATATTTAAGCATGAGATATCACTCAGCTCCTAACAAACCAATACGGCTCCAAATATAGAGCACGGTTTCATGATGCGTATCGCCTGATTCATAAAGACGCTATGTGTGTGAGTTATAGGTACTGGTCGGTCCGGTCATACTGTAGTCGGGTCGACAAACACAATTTTTAAAGTCACTTCTCTTCCTCTTTCTCGATTCTAGTACACATCCAATAGAGTGGCTTGGGTATATATTAAGCATGGAGGCGTACTTAAATGTATTCATAACTACAATAGAGAGTTGGAAGCCGATCATTATACCTGGTTTAAATATTACAAGTTGATTGCGTTTCCCGGTATGAGTGTGTGGTGATCCTTGCACAAGATATCACTCGCAATCCAAAGGTCGGATGTGTTGAAAACGTAAGACGAGGACGAGACAGTTAAGTCACTTGGTTCTGGTCCCGACAAAGAAACTGACTAGTTAAATAATTCATGGCATCTCTTTACATAACCCGATCAACTTTTAGTGTCCCCTTCACTAAAAGCTTTGCTCGCGCGAATCGGGATCGATATATAACGGGCAACTATAAAGAAGTCAGATATATTGTGCGATCGAGAAAGACAATTACCGTTGGCTAGATACTTCCAAATTACGCCCTAACTTATTTTCTACCGTGACACAGATCACTCTTTTGTCTTCACCACTAGGCCATCTACCCATCGCTAAGCACCTTAACCATTACCAAATACCCGCCGTCTTAACAGCTCTCTATCGATCGAGCACGAGGTCAACAACAAAACACGTCAGAATAATATGTTGAACCATCGTGCTGTCGCTCATGTCGATGCTGTAGCATCCATCCTACATGCATAAACTCCAAGAGATTCATTGATATCACGGATATTTGGAGACAAGAGTAGAGTACATTACTATTAATTAGCTCACGCCGTATATTGAACGGGCGGTTTCCCCTCGCCTCCCATTTCATGCATTCAAAACCCTATGTATTACTGCAGGACAGAGTTAATAGGTTAGTGTCAATCTATAAGTTCGGGTGTTAATTAACTGGCGTCACCTATATAGTGCTTATAAGACACAGATAACACCGTTGAGTGTAATTTAGGGGGGGCCACGGGGAGCTAGCTAGGTTTCTCCACACACGGGCACGATTCACGACGTTCTTGTCCCCACACATGCCAGTGTTTACCTTTCTCTAACACAGAACATCGATTTATCACCAACCCCTAGTCCTTCTCCTCTCATGATCAACTCTTTGGTGACTACCCCAAATACG